TGTGGAGACCCCAAGGCTTGCCGCGAACCAACATTGCTGGGCAAAGAAGCAGGACGGGAACGGCTTTAGGTCGCTCAACAGTAAGGTGGGAGGCGACCGAACAGCCCCTTAAATTCCCAATAAAAACAGTCTCTAGGCACAGTTCTTCCCACTCCCGATTCCCATTTTTAATTCCTGACCCGCGGTGCAGAGAGCTCGTTGTGCACTCCGACCCCATCTGGACAAGGCCCCACCTCATGTGAGCCGGGCTCATCCTCAGGACCCACTCCTAACGCCTGCCCTCCCCCCTCCGTCCCAGGCATCCTCCCTGGGACCTTCAGAAAGATACGTATCCTTGAAAAACAGCGTTTTGTACATTTCCCATGTGCCTAAATGGTGAAACAGGTCTTGTTCCACTTCCTTTTTCTCCACTTAAACCGATCGTAAAATCTTGTTTTCAGTAATCATTTTGGGGCCCCAGTTGCATTTTGGATGTAGAGGCCATGAGAACACTTCACAGCCTATCAAGGAGAAAAAGTGGATAATCTACAACATCTTTAATGCTGCTTGAGCTCAGAGAGCTGCGGTTGCAAGGCGAGCAGGTGACTGAATCCGAAAGAGGGACAAGCCCCCCAAGGCGGGAGGCGGGGTTGCAGGCTGGTTCCCCTTTGGCATAGCCGGCAGCCCAGCTGCGAAGGGCACCGCCTCGGCCGGCGAGCGTTCTCTCCACCGTGTGCCGGGGAGCAGGGCAGGGGCTGGAGACCTCCCCCCCACCCCCAGCCCGGTGCCCCGGGGGAGAAGGCGTGAAACGCCACCCACCACCCTGACCCTCCCCTCCTTCGAAGCAAAGCCTTAATCCAGCGGGGGCGGGACAACCCCCCGACCCCACCCAGGTGAAGGCTGCTGCTTCTGGGGAGGAGCAGGGAGCCTCTCAGCCCCAGGGACGCCCCCAAACCCCGAACCACACCCAGACGCGAGGCAGAGGCTGCGGCAGAGGCGGGAGGGGGCAGGATGGCTGGAAAGGCTGACCCCTGGGCCCCAGGACGCAGGACCTGCCTGCGACCGAGCCTGGACCGGGAGAACACCTGCCCCCCCCCGGGGGGCGGGGGGGGGGGGGGGGAAACGAGAAGGAGCACCCCCCCCCCCCCCCCCCCCCCCCAACCCCGGCCGTGGGCAGGCAGAAAGCTGGAGGCCGGGCAGGAACACGGACAGAGACCCTCTGGCAGGAGGAGTCTGAAGGCCACGAAAGCAGCGACAAAACTAAACCCCAAACCCAGCACGAGGGCCCAACAGATGGACTCAGCCCCGCACCGCAAGCCTGCCGCTGGCTGTGCCCACTTCCGCGTGAGGCCTCTCAGCTTTGGTCTCTGCTCTTCTACAAAAAGTGTCCGGCATTCGGCCACGTAGCATAAGACACGCGGCGAAGAGAAGACAACCCCTCGCCCTCAGAACCAGCCCCGAGAGTGTCCACGTGCCGCCCGTCCCTGTCCGAGCCCGGACCGCACGGCCGCTCCACTCGGCAGGGACCCCCCAGGGCACTTCCCTGACTCCTGCCGCCACGGACAGCACGGCCGCGGGCACCTCTGCAGGTCCTCACGTGACCCTGCAGAGGAATTCTGGCAGAGCCTGTAGGACCAGAGTCCAGCTCCATCTCCTTGGGGACTGCCAGGGCTCCACGACAGCCATCCCGGTGAAGCTCCCACACTCGGTGCCACCTTCCAAACTTTTGCCGGGCAAGGCGCAGTCTCATCGTGGTCTTGATTTAGCCTCTGATGGTGGTGAGGCCCAGAACGTCTTCACGTGCTTGTTGGCTGCACGGGTTTTCCCTTCAGTGAACTGACTTACGATCTCTGCCCTTTTCTTTTGATTTCCAAGAATCCTCCCTTTACCCTCAATACGAACTCCTTGTCAGCTTTAGATGTTAACAAAGAAAGCGAGGGAGCAACGTTTCTCCCCGAGTGTCGCCTGTCGGCGGTCCAGGCTGTCGCCCTTTTGATTTGGCCGCGTCCACCAGGGCTCGTCCTCTGACTCATGCATTGGGCCTCGCAGGTCCTCCTCCTCGCCCTGTGGTAATGACGGTGAGCTCCTCCATTAGCTTCCGCTGGCTTCGTGGCCACCAGCCCTGGGAGCCCGGCCGCCTGGTTCGGCCCCGGCCCCGCGTCCCTGAGGCTGGGCGCCTGGGGCCCCGTCCCACGTCCCCACACTCCGCTCCTCCTGGAAACACCCCTTCCTTGGTTTCTCTGGCTTGATGCCGGGGAGCATTTCCTGCAGCTCCAGGGCTGTCCTCCTGCAACAGAACTCTCTGGCTGCAAAACTCAGGTCTACACTCAGAGCATAAACTACAAAGGGCTTCACCACTTACTTGGATTGACTGCAGTGTTAATATCAAAAAAAAAAAAAAACAAAAAACTGAGTTAACATAAAGCAAAATATTTTTTAAATATACCTGATTTTTTTCTCCCAACCATTTTCTAAAAATGTGTAAGCAACTAGAGCCATCAACATCACTAAAATGTTCCTTTTCAAAGACACTGGGATAAAAGAATTCCCGATTTATCCCTGTATATTAAAGCCATTATTGGCTTTTATAGGGTGCGCTCTTGGGTTCGTTTAAACAGTGATATAAAAAAATGGAAACATCTGTGCGGGAAATGCCTTCTCAATACTATTTGTATGTAAAATACTTACCAAATTATTTCATTAAGCAACACTAACTGGTCCTTTATAGACTACCAGGGAAGAGCTGGAAGAGATCTTGCTGAGCTGAGATGGCCCTGGACCCTCCTCTGCAGAGGCCGGGCCTGGGCTGGGGGTCAGTGTGGTGAGTAGAGCAGGCTCCCAGCCTTGGGCGGAGGTGCCCGCCCCCTAGGCCAGCATTCACTAAGTGATTAAGCTATAGCTCTACTGTTTTGCAAATTTTAGTTTTAAAATGGTACGGAGACCTTAGGTCTTAGTGAAAATAAGAGGATCTGTTTGTAAAAGGGCAAAACTAACTTGTGCTAAGAATTCCTTAAGAGTGTGTATAACACAGCACGTGGGCTAAACATAATACATACATTATTCAGGACATCTCATAATGCGACAAGATGCAAAAACACTGGGTATTTGGTCCAAATTCAGTTCTTATTTTCACGACTTGCTAGCTCATTACTTATTCACTCACCTCTCTCTAGGTAGAATTTTATTCATCAAGTATTACTTTGAGCTAGACCAAATCTTATAAGCCAATTTCTTCCTTTTATAAACCAACTTCTTCCCATTTACAAATGAAGCCCTTGAAGCCCAGAGGGGCCCAGGGCTGAGCCAAGGTCTCCCCTGGTGAAATTTCACGCCTACCCTCTCACCTCTGACCTCAAAAGAGTTGGAGAGAGAAGAGGGTGACTCCCTTTTTCTGTCAAATGGATCCGAACAATGTCTTGGAGCAACACATTTCATAGCTGTCACTCCTCATTCCAGCCAAGTTCACGATTTCAGATGCACTTTACAAAATCACTTAAGTCTGCTGACTTTAGCTTGTTAAGTATAAACGGTTTGGGAGTTAAAACTCTCTGACAGTGTTTCAGTGGACAACCCCCTTCAGTATGCCCGGGGACTGCTCTGGCGGGTAATGTGACAACATGAACTATCGAAGGCGATACCTTACTAATGAATCATTTTCTCATTACTATCAAAATAATTAGATTTGTGGTGAGCGACAATAAAAAACAAGTAAAAACTTTCCAGTTTTTCTCCTGGAAAACCAATGACGACCTGAAGAAACTTAGAAAAGATTCTTGAAAATGTAAATGGGCGTGAATGTGCCAGGGCAGTGCAATCCTAATTTTAAGAATGTGCGGGGGTCACAACGGGCCCCAAGTGCCACCAGCAAACATGTCAACATCTGAATGTTGCTCTTAAAATGGAAAAGCAGCTGCGGTGACACGAACTTTAGAAAATAAAACGTCCATGAAGCATGTTTCTGTTTTTAATTTGTTTGCTTTGATAAATCAGTTGCTCCACAAAAATCCCTTTCAAAGACAACAACCCAAGAAAACAATTGTTACAGTATTCACATTTAAAGATTGTCAGTTCATAGACCAAACACCTGAAACGGGAGGATGGCGGAGTTATTCCTGTCCCTAACTGCCAGAGGTGGGCCGTTCTCACCTTCCGGGGATGTCTGAGCTTGTCTAAAAGAAAAAGTGCTCCAACACTTTCTTGCCCAGGTAAGAGTCGGGTCACGGGCAGGTTATGCAGAGATGACTCCCGGGACCCTCGGGGCTGAGGTTCCAGCATCAGGGCTCTGTGGTCTGTGAGCGAGCTGGGGCCGGGGCCCATCTCACTTTGCATGCTGGATAAATGCTTACACTGTCTTATTTCTGGAATCAAAACACGGGAAGCTCCGTTAGTGCAGCAGCTGGAGCGTGGCCAGGGCACGGACCAGCCGTCCGCTACCGGCTCACAAGCTGAGCAGCAGGTAACACACCGCGCTTAACCTGGGTCTCAAACCACCGTCAAAAGCATCCTTCACAGGGAAAGAATTTAACGAAAGCAAAGTCAAGGTCGAATTTGTTCATTTAAAATGAAAGCTCAACGGGGTCGTGCTCTCACCGATGCTCTCAAAAATCCGAGGGCTGGAAAACGGGTATTTATTAGGCACCAAGTGACCACCAATACGCCGGGCAGCGGTTAACAGTCTGCCTGTCGGGTTGTTTAAAATCCCCTTGGTTACTCAGGGGAAGGGCTTAAAGGAACCTCAGGCTGTGTCCAGAGCGCCCTCTCTCGAGTGGGCTTCATCCTTGTCCTCTGACTGTGGCGAGCAGCACGCAGACTTCGGCTGGAGGGAGTGTGGCCGAGACTCCGGGCACCGACGGCTGGACCCCCACGCGGCCCCGCGTGAGCGCTGCTGTGGCCTGTGCAGCACGCATCCCGGGACAGGATTTCTGCTGCGGGGAAACGCGGACCTGGAGCGACCACCTGCCCCTGTCACTGATCTGAGCCCAAGGGCAGAGGGATGGGGGGGGGGGGGGGGGGGGGGGGGGAAGGGAGGGAGGTGGGAGGGAGGGGCTGGCCGGCTTCCACAGGGCCTCGTCTTAAATTCTAACTTTGTTGGACTTCAAATGATCTTTTAAACTGGTGTAGACTTGACTTAAAACATTTGAAATTGTTTACAAATGAGGGACGCAATAGATGCTTTAAAATGTTATTTTCTCCCCAAAAGAGTCGAGAAGCAAGTTTTTCTTTTAAATCTCCTGAAATATTTTAAAAGAAATTCCTGTGTGTTTCTTGCTTCCTTCTGAGTTACCTAGGAAGTGCTCTCCTATGAGTAACTTTAATTATTAATAATTTCGGGGGGGAAAGTCAGTTCCAGAAAACAACCTGCACCAGCTCAGAATACCCCCATGTAGCCTTGGTCCACACCAGTTACTGTCACTGCTTCTCAGGAACTGACGACCTTCCCCGACCGTAAGACTGTCCTTGAGAAGTGCGCTGAGCTTGACGGTAACACAAAGATTCCCTCCGTGAAACCAGGGCCTCTGTTTCCTCTCTGAGGAAAAGCCCCACTCGAAAGCAAACCAACAGAAACAAATCAAAACCCAAGGAAACAAACCCAGTCTGCTCTTGCGGTTCGTCTGGTCACCAGGAACCGAAGTCCCAACACTACTCCAGATCTGATGTGATCAAGTCAGAGGGAAAGACCACGTACAGGAGAGAACACCGACCCCAGGACCAGCGTGAGACGCGGCGGCAGGAGGGCCACCGTCACCCCATCCTCCAGGCCCCGCTCGTTCCCGTCCCGCAGGGGATGTTTGTTAATCGTGTAACAAAGCCGAGGGCTTGCTCTTTACCCCGGCTCTGAGCCAGCGGGATAGAGGACACTTCATATTAGTTTATCATAAACATTCTACACGTAACATATGGCTGACTAAAAAATTCTAAAACAACACCCAGCTAACATGGTACACTAACCATTTAACTGTGGTCAAATTTAAATTAGACTGAAATATGTCAGTAAGAGCTTTTAACTGACCACTGGCTACCATTTCTTAACTTACCTAAGCTCTACTTAGCAAGTACCTTTAGGTGCATGTTTAAGGTAAGTGTAGGATGCAATCCGAGCATTTACGGACAGACTAAAATTTGAAGATATCAAAACTTCATTACATGGGTGTTTCTTTTATAGGAGTAAATGTAGATCACTACCCTGGGATAGCAGAGAGCCATGGAAGGCTAGCTAACTTTGGGCAGGTTCATCAAATTTGGTCAATTCAGAACATTCCAAATTGAGACAGTAAGCATGTACTGTTTCTCCTCTAGAAATTTTATCCTCGATATAGTCATAATCCAATTCATAACGAATTTATAAAAATAGCTTTTTATCCAATAATTCCAGCAAGGTAAAAATAGGAGTTTCTTTTCACATACAGCAAATGACACAGGCTCACGGAACACGAGCAAACGGAACCACATTTGACTCGCCATACATTCGCCACCGGCTCGCACGCGGTTTATTGCTGTGTGCTGTCATCCGCCTCGCAGTGGCAGTTTTCAGGGCCAGAAGCTTCTTCCTAATCCACGGGCTCCGTAAATAAACCAGCCCACTGAGACCTGCTTTCACCACAGAGCTAAATTAAAACTGCATGATTTTCTAGAAAATGGCAGCACTATTCCTTAATCTAGTCGGGGGTCCAGGGGGCGGGGGAGGGGGTCTGTCATTCATCATACTTTTAGCGTTAAACCTTGCAAGAATTTCCTTAAAAACACACACACACGCACACACACGCACACACACACCTTGAAAGAAGTCGCTGCACCAGCAAAGACGCCCTGGAAGCTTACTAGGAAATACAAAAGTGCACTCTTCTATGCCTACATATAAAACATATTAGAAATAAAACTGTGTAAAATGTTTGCTGTGCCAACTATAAAACGCGGGGCGGGCAGCCCTACTGCAGGGAGTCGCTGTTCTCCAGCACCAGCCCGCCCAGGTGGCCGGGCGCCAGCGCCGCCCCGCCGTCCCCCGTGCTGTCCACCGAGTCGTCCTCGCTCTGCTCGGCCATCACCACCTGCTGTACCGCCAGCGTGGCCCCGTCCGACGACAGGGACTGCAGGCTGTCCACGTTCATGCCCACGGGCGCGGTGATGGTCACGACGGCTCCTGCGGCACAAGGCGGCTGTCACCACGCCATCGGCGCTCGGATGCCAACTGTTACCCCTCGACCTGTGGGGCCGGGCTGCCCGACCTCCCGCAAAGCCCCCTGCACGTTCCTGGGACCATCCGCAGGGAGTTAAGGACCCGTGTCTCTAGGATGGGCCCCAGACCCTGCGCGGCTAAGCTCTCGGTCTACAGAGGGTCCGAGGGTCAGGACGGTAAAGGGCACAGATGCCCGGGGCGCAGAGCGAGCGCCACACAGAGGACAAGAGACCCAGGATACGGGGGAGAGGCCTCGAGACAACAAAGCGGGGAGACGGGGTGGGAGGACTGGGTCAGAGGAAGGCAGGCCGGTCTGAGACGGAGACGGAGAACCTGCGACACGCGTTCCCGCTCCCCCAGCCAACAGCAGAGGGGGGAGAGCACCAAGGGCCCGCGAGCGGGACGCCGATGAGACACGCTGGGCCGAGGACGGCGCTGCGCTAGGGAACCCCACACGGTGGGTCACACGTGCCCATCCATAAAAATCTGCACAGCACCAGCGGGTGAAGAAAGCAAGAAGATGTCATCTGTGGTTTACATAATTCGTGTAGCGTTACGTTTAGGAAACTTTTAAAAATGATTCATTCATGCATTCATTCTTGTCTGTGCACAGACCACGGCATCAGACATGCACTGGGAGCCTCCACGGGAAACTGGTACTAGGGGTTGTCTCTGGAGAAGATAAGACGCCAGGGTGGAGGAAAGATTACTTCTCACTGGATATCCTTGCCTGAAGTTCTTCCCCAGTAGATAGGTGTTGCCTTTTCCAGGATCGGGGCAAGGGAGGGGGAGAGAGAGAGGAAAAAAACCTTTCTAACTAATCCTTGAATTAAAAAGGAAAACAAAAACGGAAAATACAAATGATTTAAGTATGAAGGTAAAACCACTGCCTATCAAAACCCAGATAAAGAAGCCAAAGCTTTACAGGCACATCCCGTGAGGGGCCCATTCCGAGCCCACGGCCAGCCCGGCTCTGGGACACCCTGAGCATTGGCAGAGGACAGACGAGCGCATGTGCGCAGGAAACAACCGAGGCCAGGAAGAGAATCAGCCCCAAAGATCACAGAGCACAGTGTCCAGAGCTGGCAGAGCTGGACTGGACACACCCTGAAGCACAGGCCCTGGGCCGGGCACTGACAGGTCTTGCCTCTGTCGAGGGGGAAAAGCAGGCCAGGACCCAGCACTGCCGGGACCACCAGGCAAGAACCAATTGCAAAAGCAAAGCCCAAGAGGATCAGAGAGTGCCGAGTAACCCGACTGCTAGAACATAGCTCAGGAAGACCCGGAGCGATACGGAAACACCCATCCCCCCGATAAGGTCACACCCACAATGTCTGGCCTCTAGTCAAAGATTACCAGGCACGCAAACAGGCAGGAAAACAACCCATAATGAGAATTCAGTCAACAGAAACGAGCCCAGAGCTGACAGATGTTACAAGTAGCAGAGGAGGTCATCAAAACAGTTACTGGCCACTGTGTGCCGTTTGTTCAAAACTTCAGTAGACCGTGAAAGATACAAAGGCTCCCATGGAACTTCTAGACAACGTCCAACAGGAGAAACACAGGGATGGGATCAGCGGAAGATTAAACGTCACGGAACACAAGACCGGGGAAGCTTAAGAATAGAAACAGAGAAACTACCCAGGATGAAACAGAGAAGAAGAATCCAAAATCCTGGAGAAAGCAGCAGTAACTGTGTGAGTTGTAACGCCCTATCACAGGGACAAGGGGAGGGGAGCTCAGAAAATTGAAGAAATAATGGCCCCAAACTTTCCCAACTGAATAACAGTAAAGTGCTGAGCGGAAAACGTAAGAGGAGAACGAGAAGGTAAGAATGCGATAATAACACAACTTATTACATTTAAAAATACACACACACAACCATCTTAAGTGTGAGGGACTCACGCATACAGAAGATGCTCGTCAACTAAACACAGAAAGAGCGGCCCATGATGAGGGGACGCGCGTCAAAGGGAAGAAGAAAAGCTGGATGAGGGCCGCAGGGACATAAAGGGTGAAGCGCCAGGTGGTGAGCGCACGACACGTCCACTCCCTGCACCGAAGCAGGAGGGACAGAAAGAGGCGGGAGGGACCTCGGGGGACCGGCCTTGGACCCGGCTCTCCCGGGCACACCTGCACCCCTAACAAGCACCAGGACCAGTGCTCTCTCAGGGTCAGATGCAGAAGGACCACTGCCTGCCCTTGGTTCACAGCCTCACACACCCCCAGCCCCCAGGACAGCGGCCGCCCACCGGCTGCGAGGGCACAGGCCCGGGCCCGGTCCCCACCTTCGGACACGGTCAGCTCGCTGGCGGCTGGCTGTGCGGCTCCTGAGGCGATGGAATCGGGCCAAAACCTCTGGACGGGTCTGTTCTGAGCAGTTTTCTTCTTTGTTTTTGGAGTTTCTGAGCAACTGGAATCCAACATCGGCTGCAGGATTCGTCTTCTTGCATTGATGAACCTGCGTGCAGGAAACAGGTCAAAACGGCCTTTCCGAGGCCGCCCAAGGCAGTAACAGGCCCGCCTGACGAACCACACGAGCAGAAACATGTATTCCCTGTTGGGAGACACACTCAGAGTGACGACACGCGTATCATCTAAATGTCCGGAGAACAGGGCTGCTTTTAAAGAGACTCATCTGAGTAAAGACCAACTCTTCCATGGTGCCTTTCTTCCACTTTAACCGGTGTTTCCCTGTTGGTGAAATTGCTATTCATAATGACACTGATGATACTGTCAAAGTTGTGAATGTGGCATGATTTTCTCTGAGGAAGAGAAAGGTCAAAGCAGCAAAACCACATGCCCTGCAGTCTCGTGACGCCCGCCCGAGGCCTTGCAGGCTGTGCGTCTCTTATCTGAGGGCCCCACCCGGCCGAGCCCTGAGTGTGGACAGATGTCCGGCTCTGAGGTTGCCTAACTTCAAAGTCCTAAGATTCAAAAACATCTACAATTGCACTAGGACATATTCTAATAATACAAATGACCAGGCTGGCGCCTCAGAGCTTCATTCAGCGTCGATCTCCGGTCCCTGCAGCTGAGCGCGAGCTGGACTCCCCGGAAGCTCACCGCCGACCCCAGCGCCACCTGGGAAGGGACACCCGCTGCTACCTTTCCATCTGTCTCTTTATCCATCTTTGTCAAAGCTGCTACGAGGCAGAGGCATAAGCTAACGATGAGTGTTGTCCAATCTCGCTCCAAGATATAATTTTTGCAAATATAAAAGGAAAGAAAGTCACAAGAGGTAAAAATAGCTTCAAATATTAACTAAAAGACTTCAGAAAGTTTAGAATTTATAAAAGTCATGTTTTAAACTGTGATGAATTTCAAAATTAAAAGTTGAGGTCAAACCTTCTAGATCAGACAATTCTCTTAAGACAGCAGAGGAGCAACTTAGGGAAGGGCAGGGAGCCCACGAATGAGGAACAAATAGCGAGGAGAAGGCTGACTGGCGACAAACACATCAGAACATCCAGAGACGCACCTCTGCGTCTCTCATCCCTCAATCCATCCATCACTAAACCAGACACGGTCTCTACGTGGGACCGCATGAAAATAACGGAGAACATGCTAAGACATTACAAAACTCACAGCCACACAGTACTCGAAACCTTTGAACTCTTGTTAACACTCTATCTAAAAGATCTAACAGGAGCTAATTCAAAGAGTATGGTCTATTATGGCTACCTAAGTAAAAAATACTGGCCCAAACACAAGATACTAGAAATACTTGATGCAACGCCAAAGCATACCTCCTGCATACACAATTGCCCAAAATGGAAGATTTTACCATTTATATTGGAACTCACCTGACCTTCAAGTTTAAATTTTAACAGTTAAAATGAAAAGATAACAATGTTTACAAGTGGTAGAATCTGTATTTCCTTTTCTTTTACGCGAGCCAGTTTCATGAACCTGAAATCAATTCCTACATCTGAATAATAGGTAGATAAAAATGAGGCAAATGACTGCCAAGCAGAATGCAAGCGCACACCTCGACCTCAACGCCACTTAGTGATGTGAATGCCTCTTATGTAAGGGAAAAACCATCACGGTCAGCGTCCGAGCGTCCACACTGCCATGTGACACAAGAAGCAGAACGGTGTTTCATAAAGAAACGCTTCCCTCTCAGGACCCTGACGCCTGCTGTGGGGCAGGACCACCGCGCGGCCGGCCGGCCAGCCGTGGGACTCCCTCCCCCAGTCACTGCTGAACAAGTGACACGGGTTTCAAAAGGTATGAGGGGTGCGGATGCGCCACCAGGGGTGAGGGGAACTCACCTCGGCCGTCCACCGCCCAGAGGAGCCCGTCCACAGAAACATGGTGTTTCTGAGTGGAGGCTGGGGTGAGGGGCGCTGGCTAATGCCCTGGAGAAACCCATCTCTAATCGAGGGAGGGGGATGTCGGCAAAAGGCCCTTAGTGGGGTACCGAGCATTGAAAATTTAAGGTGAAAGTGTGTGTGATTTATGCTTACCTGGCTGCCACTGATTCCAGCCTCTGATAACACAGGAACGCTAGTTAAAAGAACTCATGTGCTTCAACCAAAATTTACTACCTATTGGTGTCAGGACTGCCAGGTGCTCTGTGTGCGGACAGCACCGCTTCAGAAAGCAGGCACAGCTTACCAGTTGTTAACCTGGAGTAGTGTCAAATTTGTCTGAGCAGCAATCTGTTTTTTCTCATCTTCTGTCGGGTAGGGATGCTGAAAATAAAAAGAAGGGTCACCGTGAGCTCCAGCTTTTAAAAAGGAACTCAAGATCATCCTGGTGAAACAGAAGCACACAAACAGTCGTTAGTAAAAACCGGCATCGAGGGTGCTTGCAGCTAAAACCTAACTTCAGTCTCATCATGTTTTCCAGAAATGCCTAAAACAAATGAAGCCTTTCTCCCCGCAGCCCAAGAGCACAGGTGTTGCAGCAGCCAGTGAAAGCCCAGGCAGAGGTGTGACGCAGACAGGAGTCCGCACGCTCAAAGGCCACGGCAAAGGGAAGGGCGCGGGGCACGCAGAGGAGCTGCTGGGCTGCACCAGCTGCTGCTCTAAGCACCCGACACAATCTATGGCTTTTGTATCAACGTTACAGGCGTAACTCAAGGACCATAAACCGCATCCATTTAAAGCAGATAAATGGCTGAGTTTCGACCCACAGCAAGACAGAGCGCGCAGGTCACCCCTGTACATCCTACGGAGATTCACTGATTCCTCACGGTCACAGAGCTGCCGCCACCTTGATGCTACGACGAGGAAACTGAGCAGGGCAGTGCACACCCTCCCCGCATCCTGGGCCGGCTGAACAAGAGGAGGCAGGAAGCGGATGGGGCTGCTCCAGGCCGTCACATTCAGGCGACACGTTTCCGTCACGGGAAGCGCCGGCATGAGCTGACACTGGGATGCACGGGTGTCACCTATGGCGTCGCTAGACTCGCGTGTGCGGCTGGCAGAGAACTGAACTGAGGGCTGGGGACGGGGTGTCTGCTATTTACTCTTCATTTCACGTATGACTGAAATATTTCACTCAGAAAAAGCCAGAAGTATAATAAATACAGGCACACCTAGGAAATACTGCAGGTTCAGTTCCAGACCACCTCAGTAAAGTGAATATTGCGATAAAGCGAGTCACGAATTTTTGTGTTTCCAAAAATGTTATATAAAAGTTATGTTTAGACTCTACTGTAGTCCATGAAGTGTGCAGTAACATTACATCTAATAGAACAATGTACATACCTTATTTTAAAAAACTTTATTGCTAAAAAATGCTAACCATAGCTGAGCCTTCTTGCAAAAGTCACGTCACAGATGACTGAGCACAGATCATCATATCAAATATAATAATAATGGAAAAGTTTGAAATATTGTGAGAATTACCAAAATGTGACACAGAGATACGAAGTAAGCAAACGCTGTTGGAAACAATGGCACCGATAGATGTGATCCACGCAGGGTTGCCGCAAACCTTCAGTTTGTGAAAAACGAACATCTGAGAAGTGCAACAAAGTGCAGTATGCTTGTACCAAAATTCACAGACGCACCAGAGGAAAACAATTTCTATCTGCAGTAATAAACAACTTCTCCAAGGTCGGTTACCATCTGCCTGTAGAAACCAGTACGACATTCACTCTAAAACTTGCACGCGCTGAAGGCCCTTATTTTGCACCGAGCAGGACCCCAGGGAGTGACTGGCACCGACAAAGCAAGGAGGTGGGGGTCTCTTTTGCTTTTTAAGCGAACACTCCGTGTGTCCGGAAGGGCACTATGCCTTCTGGGATATATAACCGCATTTATCTCAACAGCAGTGGTCCCACTCCTCACACTAACCCACAGTGACTCACTTTCATTCTATAGGTGAGCATCTGGCCCCAAGGGAGAGTTTATGGAAACAGAAATATTGTTCTTGTCCTTTAAAAAGCTCGTAAAATAGGGGCTTCCCTGGTGGTGCAGTGGTTGAGAGTCCGCCTGCCGATGCAGGGGACACGGGTTCGTGCCCCGGTCCCGGAAGATCCCACATGCCGCGGAGCGGCTGGGCCCGTGAGCCATGGCCGCTGAGCCTGCACGTCCGGAGCCTGTGCTCCACAACGGGAGGGGCCACAACAGTGAGAGGCCTGCGTACCGCAAAAAAAAAAAAAAGCTCGTAAAATAAAAAGGGGGCAGGAAGCAAGTACACAAACCAGAAAACAAAACAAAGCAAAACAAAAAACCCACCAAAAGAGTAATGAGTGCTGCCTAGAGTGTCAGGAAAACTACAAGGAGAGGACAGTATTTCAGAGAAATGAGGTCAAGAAGAAGACACAGGAAATGCTTCATAGAAAAAAAAAAAGGCATTTTAATTGAACCTCTGAGCAGGTCTATTTTAGAAATGATTAAAACATTAAAGGAAACTTGACAGGAAAATGGCCAGTTCCATCACTTACTTGTGTTGTAGTCCAATCACCACATTACAGGCACATTTATCGGTTGTAATACTCACAATGTATTTTGAAACATGTACGTTCTACTTTTTCACTTACGTCCACGCACCTACAGCTTCCTAGTGCTTCTGGCCCTCGCTTATCGTGTTAACTCGCTGTACAACCTTCCTAACGCACACACCAACCCATTTCCCATTATGGCAGCAAACAGCACTGTAACATTCTGTCCCTAAACGTCTCCACTGCGCGTGCCCCTCGCTAGGACCAGCTTCTAGGCGGGGTCGCACTGCCGATGACGACCGCGTTCTCCCGCGGCACGTGAGCCGCCCCCTCCGGGCCGGGGCACAGCCCGCAGAGCCCAGCTCCGGGCAGAGGAAGGGGTCTCAGCAGCGACCAGGGCCAAACCCCAGGGGGACTGGAGGCAACAGCCGGGTGAGGACGGAGGCGGGCGCCCAGGCACGGATGCGGCCGCAGCCCCGGCGGGGGGCGCCCCCAGGGGCAAAGGGGCGCTGCGGAGACCCGAGGGCACCACGGCGCACGAGGTGGAGGCGGGGAGGCCGGGTCAGTGAAGACGCGTGAAGACGCGGCCGCAGCGGGTGACGGCAGCAATGACGCCCAGGCGCAGGTCCAGGCGCAGGTCCGGGCCGACCAGCTCAGCCCTCAGGAGCGGCCGGGCCGGGGCTGCGGATGGACAGGTCCGCGGAAAGGGGTTTCTCCCTCCCGGCCCTCCAGACCCTCTGGACTTCCGCATCCGCCCGCATGCCGCCTGGGCCCCTCCCTCTGCCCGCACAGGCCGTAACCCAGTGGTGCGCCCACCCTCCCACCTCCATCCTACCGCGCCCCCCGGGGCCAGCAGCGAGAAGGCTGTCACTCCTGGAAGCTACTCGCGGTCACACCCTCCCCCGAGGTCGGGGGCGTGGGGACTGGGGCTCAGGCGGGGAACCAGCCAGCCTTCCCCAGAAATCGGTGGGCAAGCGTGCACCCTGAGACGGGACGGCTTCAGGGGGACGTGCCGAGGTCCAGGTGAGGAAAGGGGGCGCGCAGCCTAAGGCACACCAAGCTCCCCTTCACGGTCACGGCCACGTGCCGCCCCTCCGTCCACAAGCTCGACTCCTCATCTCCCTCCCAAATCCAACGTATCAAACATCGCTACTTTCCAAGGTTTTGCCCCAGAGCACCTCTTCTCTGCCCACTTCTCTAATCAACCTCACCTCCCCGCAGGCACCCTCCACGGGTAGTTTCTCTCACGGGCGTGTACCGTTAACATCAGCTGAACTTACTCCCTGTCACCAGTTTTTGGGTAACCCTCCCTTCTGTCCTGTGCTCGACCCATCATGGACAGTCAAAAGAACACCGATTCTTAAACCCAGGCCTACCAGCCCACATAAGTCCATTTTTTCTAGAAAATAAGCCAGAAAGAAAGCATCACGGAGGTCTGGCTAATTGCAGAGCACGTGTGTCCTCACCCCGATGTGCTGGAAGAGCCAGGACCTCATCACATTGGTGGCGTGCTTCGGCAGGACCCCCCTCTTGTTCTTAGATGAACCGTCATCTTGATGCAAGATGCTGAGATCCTGGTTTAACTGTAACTGAAGCTTTTAAACAATTGAAAAATAACGTTAGAAAGCATAGAAAATGATGACATATCCAAGTAGCTTATGAGTGCAGGTGTAGAGAATAACCAAGGATCTTACAGCTAAATGTCTTATTTACAGGAAAGGCATAAACACTGGGACCCTGTAGGGCTGATTTTCCGAGGATGTGGCCCCTCGCGTTGTAACCCTTTACACTCGCGTCTCAGCCGCGCAGGGGCCCCCTGTCTGGCGATGAAGGTGGGACGGGCACCGAGAAGCCCCGAGTGTCCCACCCTGCACGCAGCCGAGCCCCGCCCTCACACACACTTGTCCTCAGCTTGTCTCCTCTGGCGACAGATGAGACAACAGCCCATTTCCTGGCCTGGAGCAGGATTCAAGCAACCGACAAGGATGGACAGGGAAGCTGAAAGGGCCACTAACTAGAGGAGCCCGTCCAGGAGAGAAAGAAACACACAAAGTGCGGACAGAGCGACCACAGAGCACAGGGGCCAAGGCGATGACCTCTGCCCAGACGGCTCCACGGCCACTCAAGACACTGCCCCCCTCACCCTGAGAAGAGCCTGAGATACAGCCTGTTCATTCCATCTCGGAAGGAAAGGACACGTGTGTAACTCCCCTTAGATGAGCGTCCGTCCGCTCACACAAACACGAGGAAAGGGCATCACGCCCCACGCGTCCAGCCAGGGGCTGCAGAGATGGTGCCAGTGTCGTTCATCCCCCAGACCAGGGAGAAAACCAACACCCCGCGCTGGGGCCTCCACACAGACACATCAGGACCTCTCCACTGTGATCCATGCTTTGCCTTAGAACTTCTGTGTGACCACCTAGAGGGGTGGGACAGGGAGGGTGGGAGGGAGGCTCAAGAAGGAGGAGATATGGGGGTGCATGTGTGCATACGGCTGATCCGCTCTGTTCTACAACAGAGACTGACACGGCATTGTGAAGCAACTGCGTTCCAATAAAGATGTGCTAAAAAATAAAAGTCAGTAAGTAAGCATCAACTTCTGTAGGTCAGTTTCAGCATAATAGAGTCATAAACATAATTTACAGGATTTGGAAGTTCATTTTGGAGAGGTATCTATTATTTGTTCTTCCTCTAGATTTACATCATTTTGGATAATTCTTTAAAAGACTGAACACCAGCATCTAAACAGACAGAATTTATGACTTAAAGGAGACATTACAACCACTAACTATACCTAAAATTTCTTAAAACCTAAGATTATCACTAAGGGCATAACCGTTTTCTGGAATGCATGTGTTTGTTCATTAAAGGACTGAACAGTATTTTTTTTAAAGGTTGATTAATTTTTGGCTGCGTCGGGTCTTAGTTGAGGCACGAGGGATCTTTCGTTGCAGCGCTCGGGCTTCTCTCTAGTTGTGGCGTGCGGGTTTTCTCTCTTTGGTTGTGGCGCGCAGGGTCCAGGGCGCGTGGGCTCTGTAGTTGGCGGCACACAGCCTCTCTCATTGAAGCACGCGAGCTCAGTAGTTGTGGCGCGCAGGCTTAGTTGCCCCGCGGCACGTGGGATCTTAGTTCCCCGACCAGGGACCGAACCCGCGTCCCCTGCACTGGAAGGCGGATTCTCTACCACTGGACCGCCGGAGAAGCCCCGAGGACTGAACAGTATTAAGCAAATGCCTGTATGCTCACACTTGTGTGCAACAGGAAAAAGAATGAAAAATGGGCTTTTAAAACTAGATCCACTAGGGCCAAAAGGGAACCTGTCTGTGTTTGCCTCAATTTAATACATGACCTTCTTCATGCAATGTGACATGTTTTTCAGTTTCAGTGTTGCTTTTTTTGTGCAGGGTTAAAACAAATGTGGACCGTGAACAGGGAAAGTGACAGCTGGCCACGTGACTCGACCTCACAGATGCCCCCAAGGGGGCTGGGGAGGCCATCGAAGCCGAGGCCCTGCGGGGGGACCGGCCAACCGGCCCACCGCCCTCCAGCAAAGCCGAGCCTGCGCGTGGCAGGGGGATTTAAAAGCCTAGGAAACTGGGTGAAAACCCATTTAAGAAGCAGTGGGGCCCCCATACCACTCCCCATCATTCTCTGCGGGTGACTGATCTGCCCCCAGCCCTGCAGAGACTCGGGGTCTCTTTCCCAAAGAAACAGACCAGAGGCTGAAGACCGAGCATAGCTCGAGGGTGGGAGGAGGGGCGAGGCCAGAACCAGGGTGAAGAAGATCTGCACACAAGGTGGGAGACCCCGCCCACTCCTGCCCCTGCAACTATGCTTCCGCCCCAAGCCAGAGATCAGAGTCCTGCTCCGGGGAAATGAAGGAAGAAAAGGCTGAGGGAGCGCAGAATTTGGAGGCCAGGCCACAGAGGAGCCGGCCCGCCAAAGCGCAGCACCTGACGAGCACCAAAGGGCATTCCAGTGCCTCATGTTTACATTTAGAAGGACAGCCAACTGCCCCCAAACACTTGAACGCCTCCATCACAAAAAGCCAACAGCAAAGCAAATGAATGGTATGACGTGCGGGAAACAGGGCAAGTGCAGAAAGCAAAGCACACGCCAACCATCCGTGAACCAAGGGTAGGAGCACAGTGGGTAAAGAGGAGCCTCAGAAATTACAACCACACTGAAATGTAAAACCTAACAGATGCGTTGGAAGATAAACTATCCATGAACCAAGAGTAGGAGAGCACAGTGGGCAAAGAGGACTCTCAGAAATTACAACTACACTGAAATGTAAAACCTAACAGATGCGTTGGAAGATAGAAGGCAAGTTCTCGAAAGTAGATAGAAAGTAGACAATGGGAATACAAATATAAAAATACAGAAAAATCAAGAGACTCGGTTCAGAAGGTCTAGCGTCCGATCAGTAAGGGCTCTGGAAGGAGAGAATGTGCCGGTTGGGGGCGGGGGCAGGGCTGTCACAGAGAGTTCAGGAAAATGTCCCAGCCTCAAGGACACGAGGTCCCCGGCAGTGCCCAGCGCAGCTGACAAACAAGACCCGCGCCAAAAACTCAGGGGAAAGAGACGCGTCTGACAGAGGAGAAAACACCGAAGACGGGAAAGCGGAGCTCACACTGACCTTCTCGAAGGCAGCGCGGCTGCTAGAACACACTGACGGCGCCCGGGGAGCCCCTTCCCGGCCTGGAATCGTACATGCAAACCAACTGCGTGTCAAGGATGAGACCAAGTCACTTCTAGGTTTGCTAAGTCCCAACACGAGGCACCTCCCACACACGTTTTCTCCGCAAGTTCTCAAAGGGGCAGTGAAGCCTAGAAAGTAGAAGACGTGGGCTCGCGGAGAAGGGGCTCCTCAGGGTGAGGCGCCGGATGCCCGACGCCCGGCCGAGGTGGAGACCAGGAGGCCGAGAGCCTCGAGGCCACGCGGCCCCGACCAGCTACCTGACAGGGACACCAAAAGCATGCTAGGCATCCGTGAGGATTTAGCCGCCGACGCCATGGAAACTGTGCGCGGGGGGGGGTGGTACCCAGCTGCTAACTCGGGCAGCGTGATCACGGTTACACACGCAGCTCAGCAGAAACCAGCATTTACACGCTCACGAGGATGTTCACAATGACAACGTATCAGCTGCACTGGGTCTACACGGACGGCATCCTGGCCGGGGAGGGGACGGGAGAGGGCACAGCCCCCAGCAGGACAGATACACGGACGGCATCCTGGCCGGGGAGGGGACGGGAGAGGGCACAGCCCCCAGCAGGACAGAAAGCCCAAGCTACAGGTTGTACGCGTGAGTCAGGGGAGGGGGTTTTATTTCCAACACGGAGGGAACAGCAGAAGGAATGGCCAGGAGGCCTGAAAGCGGTCGCCCAAGGGGAGCGAAGGTGAGGGTGGGAGCTGCTGAGTCTGGTCCAGGCCTCTCAGCAACGCGGGCACAGGGCGACCTGATACCAGAGTCAAGCATCACTGTAAATCGCGAAAAGGAGGCGAAAACTTGTCACACGTCAGACAACAGCACAACCCCGACCCATACGAATAACGGTTTTGTACAAAAGACTATCCCGGGAAAGGGGAGCAGGGTGGGGCGAGGAGAAATCAGTGGAATCTCACTGCCCTGGCTACTTCTTATTTTCTCGGAAAAAAATGCTTTTAAATGAGTATGTACTGCGAGCACAACGGGGGACCCTTCTGTAGAGGTGGCCCAGCCCAGGAAGAGCGTCCGGCTCCTCCGTGTGACCGGCGCCAGGTCAGAAAACGCCCCCGTGGCCAATGCGCCCGGCGCAGGGAGGGGCCGGCCACCGCCGTGCGCCGTCAGAGACAACCACGCGCTTTCTTGACCTCCAGTTTCTAGAACACAGAAGCCATCACTGCTGAGGGACTCACCCTATAACTACCTGCAGCCCAGCAAGAACCCAGACGTCGGCCAAATGAGAAGGAAAAACGCCCGGAGTGACCACAACAGCTCTGCAGGATCACCGTACCTACACGCGTGGGCTCCCTGGTCACAGAAGGCCCCAGCCGGGCCCCAGCCGGCCTATTTACTCTTCCGTGAAACCCCCCGCCCGCCCTGCGCGGGGCTTGTCTCTCCAGCTCCCCAGCCCTGCCACCCTGCAAGGGACAGACGCCGGGGCTGTGACGGGGCGGGGACAAGGGCAGGGTGGGCTGCGGGGTCACCGAGGACCAGAGCAGAGGCGGCTCCTGGCCAGCAGCCTCAGGGAGCAGGGGCTCCGCAGACGTGACCCAAACTCTGCACGTCTGCTATGTAAACTCGGTGAAATTCTTCCTTAAACAGCAGAACGAATGAGCCTCCACTGTACAAGTAAGCACTGGACTTCACAGTGTTTCCTTCCGCTAAAAACAGTTCACTGTGAGGCCAGAAAACGCTCTGCAAACCAGCTTTCTGTTCCCAGCCACTGTAAATGGAAAACTTCAGGCACGGCGGGCTGGCCGGGGATGGCGGGCCGGCGCTGGGTGGCTGGGCCTGGGGGCCACCTCGTATCCTGGCCTCAGGTGTGCCCAGGCGGCCCCTGCCCCAGGCCCTCTCACACCTGCTTCTGATTTAAGAAAACACTGACATCCCCAAGGCCGGGCCTCAAAGTGGTTAACGAGGATGTACAAAGCATCTGTGCAGGCCAAAGACAAAGAACAACATAAAGAATGAATCAATGGTCTTCAGTAAGAACTGATGGCAAAAACACTGCTTCTGATTTAAACCTAGTAAGTGTAAAAAATTTTAAAAATGTGTGTGTATATCCCTAGAACGTAGAGGGGACTGGTCTCACGTTACCACAAAGGCACAGGGAGGGTAAGACGACCCCCAGGTCGGGGCACATCACGGCACTGCCAGCGCTGGCACTTCTGCCGGCCCAAGCCCACCCCCTCAGCTGGAGGCCTGGGTCGGGGTGAACTTCCGGGGGTCCGGGCAGGGTGCGTCTACACAGCCTCCGCCCTACTGAAGTGGAGACAACCACACAGCCCCACGTTAGACGGGACAGCAGTGGCCCCTCGCGGGGAGGGACCCTGGGGGACCTTTTCCTCCTTCCTTAGGCTTCTCTGAACTCTGCAACAATGTGGAAGATGAACCGTGAAGAAGACGCATGACACCGACATTCAGGTTAACTGGAGACCGCCCAAATGGCCTTCACGCCAAGGGGACGGCTGGAGCCCGGGCCGCCTGTGCCCCCGCACCTGTGCTAACACACCCCCAAGCACCCCGCGGGGCCAGCTCACGGACCTGGGAGTTCTGGATCCGGATCGTGCCGGGCGACAGCGCCTGTGTCACTACCTGGCCTTGGGGAGTGACGACTGTGACCGGCTGATAGACTGTGCCCCCTAGAAAGGAACACGAAAAGCTGAATCACTCTCCAGTCCCAGCAATTATAACCGCTCTTCTTGGTGTGCTCACCGAAAGAACAAAATCTGTAGCTTATGAGCTTTGAAAATCATTTCGAACGGTCAACAGCACTTTGCTAGTTGACTCTTCACTTCAGCGGCGGGGCGAGGCGCGTAAGCCATGGCTCCTCATGAGACAGCACAGGGCGGGGCGGCTGGGGGGTGGTCTGTGAGTCCCCTCCTTTGCTCACCTCCATTTCCTGGCACGTATTAAAGGACTTGGCCAAAGGTGTTAGATAACAAATATTTTTATTCTAGTTATTTTTTTCATCCAACGTGCTTTCATCTTCCTGCGGAGGTTTCCCTTTGTGTGATTATGTGGAGGGTTTTAGTTTACTTTCTCCCCCTCCTTCTGTGCCCATTCCATTTTCATGATGGTTCTGTATGTGCAACGTATAAGAAAAACCATCACGGGAAGAGGACAGATTCTAGAGTTCCCTGGTGCATCCAAGACAAGTGATACTAACACTAAGGCTGCGTTTTCATTTGCTTATCATCGATTTATGACACTGTTTAAGATTTTCCAGGTGCTGCTAAGAGCACAATTAAAAACTATGTTATTTGAAAATTTCTGTTGGTTTTTGCTATACATTTTCAACTCCCATATAAAACCTTTCCTGCCAATATTTTTTGAGAGGGAAACACAATTTGTATAAAATATTTGTTACTGAGAATGAACAAGAACCAGGCATTCAAAGAGCTCTAGACATTGACACTCCTGTATCGGGAACTGGCATTAATTAGAAACCATGTTGATGCACTTCTTCGTTCTAATATAAAGGACTTCTTTCTGCAAAAGCTCAAGGAAAGTGTCCCTTTTTCTGTCGCCATACCTGCCACTGTTGCCATGGTGACGTTCCCCTGCTGCAGAGCGGATGCCGGCACCACGATTCCTTGGGGGCCGAGAGTGCCTGCGATGGCGCTTTGAATCTGCTGTAAGTCATAAACACACAGCGAACGGGTTATGTTATCAGAAAACAGAAAACACATGTTTAAAACTCCAAAACACGTGGCATAATGGCGTCATCAGTAAAGGAAAGACGCTTGAGGCAAAGAGCATCATCAGAGGACAAGCCTTCGTAAGGCCTGCGTTCCAGACGCGTCTGGAAGCAAGAGGTGCCAGACTGACTGCGTGTTAAATATGATACGATCAATACTGAGACACTAGTTTCAGCTTAGCTTCCAAAAGATGATCTTTCACCTCGTCAGCATACTAAACACACCCTACAGCCCTGGAGGTACAACTAGGAAGACTAAAATTACCCGATCGAGTCACACACCTTCTCCATTCAACTTGGCTCAGAGTCTTCCAAGAACCAAAGCCTCCTGCACGGGATGAGCTATTCAAAAGATGATGCCACAGGCTGGGGAGTCCCCCCCCGGGGGCACAGCCTGTACCTGCCCTTCCCACAGCACAGAGCACACCGGAGCCCCCAGTGTCCACGTCTGTGGGGTGCTGGGTCTGGGCCTGGCCTACCGCAGGCTCCATGCAAATGTCCGTAAACACCATGTCGGAGAATCTACCCATCTGAGGTCAGATGCAAATGGGCCAATGTATCCATTTCCTGTGACGGCTGGACTGGGAGCCGGCGAGGGGCGGACCTCTGCACCCAGCGTCCAGCACAGGGTCTGGCACACAGCAGGCACCCAGATGCTTGAGCGGTTAAATAGCCTAAGCAGAGGGCCTTCAGAGACAGTTACCCTGTGGCTGTCACATCCACCTGAACGTATAAGCCTTGGTAGGTCTACGTGAAGTTTGCTACATAAACTTGGTCAGAATAAAAATTAAGCAATCCAAATCAGTATTCTAAGCTCCCACATCAAGAACCTAGAAAAAGAGGAGCCAAATGAAACCAGAGCAAGCAGAAGGAAGGAAGTGATAAAGATTAAAGCAGAAATCAATGAAACTGAAAATAGAAAAACAGAAAAATCAATGAAATAGGAGCTGCTGCTTTGCAAAGATCAACGCAGTGACAAACCTCTAGTAAGACGGACAGAAAAAAAGAGAAAAAACCAAATTACCGATATCTGGAATGAAACAGGGGAGATCACTACAGACCCTGAAGATATCAAAAGATGAAAAAGGAATACTACTGTAAACAACTCGACACACGTAAATTTGATGTCTTAGACAAAATCCAACATGAAACAGATCATCTGAATAGCCCCATAACTAATAAGGAAACGGAATTAGTAATTTTAAAACTTCCAAAAAAGAAATCTCCAGGTCTAGGCAGTGTCACCGGAGAATTCTACCAAGCATTTAAAGAAGAATTAACACAATTAACCAATTCTACACATTTCTTCCAGAAAACAGAAGAGGAGGGAACACTCTCCAGTTCATTTTATGAAGCTTATACTATCCTGATACCAAACCTAGCCAAAGACTGTACCAAAAAGATAGCTACAGACGACTATCCCTCAATACAGACACGAAAATGCGTAACAAAATTCAGGAATCTATACAAAAAGAATTACGTGCCAGGGCCAAGTGGAGTTTATTTCAGGAATGCAAAGCTTGCTCAATATTCAAAAAAAATCAAGTAATGTAACTCTACCACATTGATAGATGAAAGAAGAAAAATCACATATCAATCTATGCAGGAAAGCATTTGTCAAAATTCAGCGTAATAAAAACTCTCAGAAAAATAGGACTAGAAGGGAACTTCCTCAACCTGATAAAGAGCATCTAGAAAAAAAAACAAACCTACCACTATTCCCCCGACACTGGGAAGAAGGCAAAGATGTCCCCTGAATCCCATTCCAGATAGTCCTGGATGTTCCAGCCAGAGCAGTAAGGCAGGAAAAGGAAACAGAAAGTGTAGAGATCAGAAGGGACAAAACAGAACTGTCCCTATTTGCAGATGACAAGACTAAACAGGTAGAAAATCCTAAAGAATCTACAGAAAGGATCTCCTCGGACTAATAAGGAAGTTCAGCCAGGTCCCAGGATACAAGATAAAGATACAAAAATCAACTGGATTTCTACATATTGGCATGGACTCTGAAGTTAAAAATATAATAAATTTACGATTGTGCAAAAGAGTGAAATACTTAGGTATAGTTCTAAAACCACGTGTGCAGGAATTTTATGTCAAAAGCGAGAAAACACTGATGAAAGAAATCACAGAAGAGTAAATTAGTGGAGAGAGCACCGCGACTGTGGGCTGGGAGAGTCAACACAGTAAAGGTGTCAACTCTCCCCAAGATGACACACAGGTTTAACGCAACTCCTGTCAAAACCTCAGTAACATTTTTTTGCAGATATAGACAAGATTATTCTAAAATTCATGTGGAAAGACTAAGGAACTAGAATAACTAAAATAATCTTGAAAAATAATAAAGTAGGAGGAATCGGTCTACCCAGTTTTGAGACTTATATAGCCACAGAAATCAAGACTATACGGTCTAGATACACAGATCAATGGGACAGAACAGAGAACATAGCAACAGGGCCTACAAATATGACCAACTAGTTTTTGACAATAGTGCAAAGGCAATTCCACGGAGGAAGGACAGCCCTTTCAACAAACGGTGCTGGAGCAAATGGACGAACTTAGGCAAAAAAACCCAAACCTGAAAATTGGCCATGGATTTAAATGTAAAATTTTTAGGAAAAAAATAAGAGAAAAATCTTTGGGACCTAGGGCTAGGCAAAGAGTTCTTCGACTTGACACTGAAAGTATGACTCATAAAAGGAAATTTGATAAATGGGATTTTATCAAAATGAAAAAGGTTTGCTCTGCAAAAGACCCTGTTAAGAGGATGGAAAGATACGCTAGAGACTTGGAGAAAACACTGGCAAACCATATATCCAATGGGGGACTTGCATCTAGAGTACTCTCAAAGGTCAACCATTTTTAAAAATCCAATTAGAAAATGGACAAAAGATACGAGCAGACCTTCTACCAAGGAGGATACACAGATGGGAAATAAGCACATGAAAAGATGGTCAACACCACTGGCCATCAGGGAAATGCGAATTACAGCCACAATGAAATGTCACTACACCCCTTCAGAATGGCTAAATATTGCAGTGCTTCAACATGGATGAACCTGAGGACATTATGCTGAGGAAAATAAGCCAAACACAAAGGGACAAACATGGTATGACTGCCCTTACATAAGGTACCGAGATTAGTCAAGGTCACAGAGACAGAAAGCAGGATAGTGGGGGCCAGGGGCTGGGCAGAGGGGGAGGGAGAGTGAGGAGTCAGTGTTGCAGGGGGACAGGGTCTCAGGTTGGGAAGGTGAGAAAGTTCTGGAAAGGACGGTGCTGACGGTTGCACAACAACGTGAATGGGCTTAGTGCCGCTGAGCTGTGCACTTTAAAAGGGTTAAAATGGGAAGTTTTGTGTTATGTGTGTTTTACCACAATCTTAAAAATTCATTAAAAAAAAAAAGAATTAGAAAGAAATGACTGGTACTCTGGCCTCCAGAAATATGGGCTCCAGGGTCCAGGACACAGAGTGAAGCCTCCCTTTTTCACGGCAGGAAGCCCAGGCGGGCTCTCTCTCTGGCCTGAGGGAACACATTCCCGGCACAGGCCACGTTCAGAGACCCAGAGGATCCTCAGAGCAGGAGAGCCGAGGACAGCCCCACAATCCTGAAAGGGCTGCGGCCTCAGACATCAGCACGTTTCACCCTTGCCGACGCTGCAGGGACCAAGCAGGAGCACAGGGCCCGCCGTAAATACCTGGGACTGGACAGGGGAGTACGGGCTGCCAGGTTCCCCACTCAGGAGAGTTTCACTGTTCATTTTCGTTTTTAGACAAGCAATATAGCGACTGCAGAAATCTTTGCAGAGTTCATTAACCTTTTCCAGCTCAAGAAGATGAATACGCAGAACCTGGATTGCTTTTACCATCTAGAAGCAAGAAAATGAAGACTTTCAGACCAGAAAAAGGGAGCATGACGGTAAGTTATCATTACCACCACACGACTCTCCTTGGTTATGAGCTTGGTTATGACTCAGCTTGGTTATGAGCCAGCCAAGGCCACCTGTACCGCCAGTAACAGGAGGAGAAAGACACCAGATGTTATGCAGAACCACCAAGCATTCCAGCCCCACCGACCTGTGGCTTGCTGTTTCGGCTCCACGTGGCTGCAGGGACAGAGGCGGTCACAGCTCCGGAGCCGCCGGGCCTCGACCTTGGCCTCGCCCCGCTACTGCTCCTTCAGCTGTAAATGGGGATAAATCCGTACGCACCTCCCGGGTGGTTCTTAATGTTGAAGAAGTTCAACTTACCAACTCTGCCTTCAATGGATTCTGCTTTGGGCATCAAGTCTAAGAACTATGCCTACCCCTAGATTAGCCCCAGATCCTAAAGATTTTCTCTTACAATTTTTCTAAAAGTTCTTCGGTTTTATACAAAGTCACTACATTTGGGGGTAATTCGTCTCCCAGCAGTAGATAACTGACACTAGGGATGAACCATTACCATAAACACCACTTCCTGCGAATGAACAACCTAAGACTCAGCCCCTTCCCCGTGACCTTGGTGGTGACAGTTCACACGTCGCTGTGGAATCAACCAGTCAGCCAGCCAGTAGTGAGGATGACCAAATACCAAGCTCTGCTAGGCCCTGTGCTAGGGCACCAGGCAGGAGAGCCCTGGTCCCTGCCGGCCTGGCCCATGCTGGCTACGCCCGTTCCCTCCTTGCTGATGGCCGCATACAGAGATGCGGAGGCAGAGAGAGCATCGGGCCCTCATCCCCAAAAGGCAGGCACTGTTGGTCCCATTTCGAAGACGAGGAGACAGACTCAAAGTCAGACAACTCACCTATAAAATCTATTTGGCTGTAAGGGTTGAATATTAATGAAAAACTAAAAACAGTAACACCTAAGACCAAGGCAGTTTATTCAGGGAAAAGTTTTCCAAAGACCCTTTCCTGCTGATGAGGGGCCTAGGGTTCTGGTCTGGGAGCTGGCCAACTCTAGTGGGAATCCAGCCCCAGACACAGGCTGCCAGGGCTGCCCAGTGCTGAAGGATGCCGCTCCCCTTGGGCACAGCAGTGATGGCAGCCCAACGAACTCTCCATCGCTGTCGGGAAGCACAGAGAACCCAGGGTTTTGGAGCACTGGACCTGGGAGGGGGGCACCCGCATGAGCCAGGCTGGCTTCAGACAGGAAGCCTAAGGGAGGCCGTAAGGGGTGTCGGTCCCTTGATAGGCCCGTCCCTGCTCTGTGCTCACAGGCCACCCCGAGTCGTCACACAGTCTGTCACCCACCACCAGTGCCAGCCTCCAGACAGAGGTGTCTTGGAGAACAAAGTTGTGGTCCATGATCAGGGAAGAGCCAACACCTGAAGCTGGGCCCAGACACGTTCCCAGGAAGCAAGACACAGGGCACGCCGACCCCAGTGGACCTTCCTGAACATACGGGAGGGACTGAACCCCCAGCCCACTCAGGATGCAGGCTCAAGCCATCCTGTTGGATTATTACAGGAAGGGGTCAACAGAGAAGGCTGGAGACCTGGCGACATTCAAGTCACACACGGAAAATTATCTCACGAATTGTACAGTTCTCCCCTTCGGCAGAGCCACAAACAATCTGAAGTTCTAATTCGAAATTTAAAATTTATCGAACAGATTAAATTTAGAAGAAATAAAAATTAAGAACATGCAGGTTACTTACTAAGTTGTCAGTTTCTGGATCCTCACAAAAGAAGGGCTTTCCTTCCTTCTCTTGCCTCCTTACGAAGCTCTCAATGTCCACGTCAAAGCTGGCAGAAGTGGTGCCTTCCGAGCCCTGTGTGGACTGCTCACATTTTTCAAACAACAAAGCTAATAGCGGAAACAGCGGATGCCTGGGGGGAAAATTTTTAAAGATGTGTTCTACACTTGCATGAAAATGTTCTAGTATGTACGCATGCAATGTTGTATACAACAGCTTTGCTGAGATGATTCGCACGCCACACAATTCATCTATTTACAGTTTATAATGCAACGGGTTTTCGCATACTCACAGAGTTGCGCAACCATCACCACAGTCGATTTTATCATCTTTTCATCCCCCAAAGAAACCCTGTAACTATTAGCAGTCACTCTCCATTTTCCACCCAACCCCAGCCCCAGGCCACCACTAATCTACTTTCTGTCTCTACAGATTTGCCAGTTCTAGACATTTCATATAAATGGAGTCATATACTGTGTGACCTTTGGTGTCTGGCTTCTTTCACTTGATGTGCATGATGTTTCCTAGGCTCATCAGTGTCGTAACATGTAACAGTACTTCATTCTTTTTTATGGCTGCATAATATTTCACTGTATGGTTAACACCAGTTGGACAGTTTTAAATTTTACTTTCAGATCCATACTCCATTTTGAGTAGATCTTTGTAAAGGATGTGAGATTAGGTCAAGGATCTTCTCTCTGCATGTGGATGTCCAATTGTTCCAACTTGGACAATCTGTTGGAAACTCCACCTTTTCTCCACTGAGAAGATCAGGTAGACTGATTCTTCCAACTTTATTCTTCTTTTCAAAATTGTTTTAGCTGGTCTAGTTCTTTTGACTTCCATATAAAATTTAGAAATAACTTGTCTATATGTACAGAAATATCCTGCTACAACTTTAATTGTAATTGCTATATAGCAATTTTAGGAGAAATGACATCTTTACGATGTTGAGTCTTCCAATCCATGAACATCGTATGCCCTTTATTTAGGTTTCCTTTGACTGCTTCCATTGGCATTTTATAGTTTTCAACATAAAGGTTTTGTATGTGCTTTATTAGAGTTATACCTACATCTTTTTGGAGCTCTCGAAAGTGGTATTTTCTCTTTAATTTCAGTTTCTAATTGTACATTACTGGTAGAGAAATAGGATTGGTTTTCCGTGTGTTGCCCTTGCAACCTGTGACCTAATTAAACTCACTTATTTAGTTCTGGAAGTTCTTTGGTACACTCTTTGGGATTTTCTATATGTGGACAATCATGTCAGTTGTGCATAAAGCCAGCTTTATTTCTTCCTTTCTAACCTGATATGCCTTTTCTTTCTTTGTCTTGCCTCAGTGAACTGGCTAAACGTCCATTACAGAGCTGAACAGGAGGAGTCAGGGTGGACATCTCTGCCTTATCCCCAAACTTGGGGGAAAACATTCCATCTTCCACCATTAAGTATGATGCGAGCTGCAGGGTTCTTTTGTAGTTTCCCTACATCAGGCCAAGAAAGTTCCCCTCTATTCCTGCTTCACTGACAGTTTTTAATCATAACTGGCTGTTGACTTCTGTCAAATGCTTTTCTGCATCACTTGATATGATCCCATTGTGCGTCTCACTGGTTGATCTCTGAATGGTGAACCAGTCTCATATTCCTGGGACAAGCTCCATTTGGTCACTAAACAGTCTTCTCTCTACACGTTACTGGATTTTACTTGTTAATATTTTATGAATGATTTTTATGCCAAAGTTCATGAGGCATACTAGTCTTTAGTTTTTTCTTTTTTTATATTGTCTTTGTCTGGCTTTAGTATCAAGAGTGATGTTCAATTCATAAAATGAGTTCAGAAACATTCCCTCTTCTTCTACTTCCTGGAAGAGACTGTGTCGACTTACTGCTTTTCCTTCTTTTTGGTAGAATTCTCCAGTACAACTATCTGGGCCTGAAGATTGCTTTTTGTAAGGTTGACTAAAATGTAGATTTACATTCCAAAACTTTTTTTAAAAGATATTAGGAATAACATTGTAATCTGAGAAAACCTTTACCCCAGTAGTTATCACATCACGCCTCACTGCTCTGTCTGGCTAATAGCTCACGTTCCATTTAACCAGATTTTCCATTCTCTTTACTCCTCTGAACACCCACATGCTTCACATCGCATTGCTACCTATAAATGGCCTGCTTGTCTGCATCCATCGGGGTCTGGGACCCCACAGGGGGAGGGCTCACTCCTTCCACATCTGGTTCAGAGCAGGTGGGGTCTTGCTCCGTTTTTAACTCTGTTACTACTTGCATCTGTGAAAGGAGGAAGAGAACTTTTGTTACTAAAAAGAAAATAAGCTGCTACCAAGTACAGTAAGTCCCCTACATACGAACCTTCAAGTTGTGAACTTTCAAAGATGCGAACAGATTATAAACCTATTACAGTACAGTACTATATAGCCAATTGTGTTAGTTGGATACCTAGCCTAACTTTGCTGGACTTATGAACAAATTGGACACGAACTTGCTGTTGGAAAGGAACACGTTTGTATGCAGGGGACTTGCTGTATTCTATTCTCAAACAGAAATGCAGTGGAATGGTAATCTGCCAGACGGTTATATGACAGGCAATAATACGGAAAGAATACTACCAACAAAGTCCTTTGAATTTAATGTGCTTCTAAATGGCTAAAACAAAGGTCAAGTTTCCAAAGCATTTAAAAATTGAGAGGACCACTATCTGTGAAATGCTTATGATTTTTCAAAACCGTAATAACTCTACATCGCTGAAGGGAACTGGTACACATGCAGTCTTTCTCGTCTGCCTCTCCTTGTTATCTGTCCTCACGCTGAGTAACGTTGCAGGAAGAGAAGAATAAACAAATAATCCAAGCTTTCTTATCTTGTCACAAAAACAACTCAAACCCAAGATGCTCCATATTTGTGACAGGGCTGAAATTCTCCCTTACCTATCCTTAAACTCAGGAATACACAAGCTATAAAAATGTTACGGGGACTTCCCTGGTGGTGCAGTGGTTAAGAATCTGCCTGCCAATGCAGGGGACATGGGTTCGAGCCCTGGTCCGGGAAGATCTCACACGCCGCAGAGCAACTAAGCCCGTGCAGAGCCTGCGCTCTAGAGCCCACGAGCCACAACTACTGAGCCCACGTGCCACAACTACTGAAGCCCACGCACCCTAGAGCCCGCGAGCCACAACTACTGAAGCCTGCACACTCTAGGGCCCGTGTGCTGCAACTACTGAAGCCTGCGCGCCTAGAGCCCGCACTCCGCAACAAGAGAAGCCACCGCAATGAGATGCCCACACACCACAACAAAGACCCAACGCAACCGAAAATAATAAATAAAATTTTTTTTAAAAATGTTAAGGAAAGTCACTGCATCCAGAAAGCAAAGACCAGCTGTGTTTAAAGAAACAGTGTTAAACGTAAGAGGAAGCCTTAAAGATATTACCACTGAAATTGCTTTAAACTGGCTGTGTTGTTTGTAACGTCGGGGAAAAGTATTTAAATCCTTCAACATAAAGAATTCAGTTTACAAATAAAACAAAATCGCTACAGTAAACTTCTTGTTATCCCTGAGTAGATCACCGCCCTCCTCGGTTTCTTCAGGACTGGGGTATCTGGGATGCACCTGCCCCGCCCACAACTGCCACCCCCCGCCCCTCAAGGAAGCAGCCTGTTGGGGAACCTGTGGTGGGGTGGGGGGTGGGGGGAAGCTCATCCACGGAGATGGGAGAGCCTGCATCCTGCCAGGAACCCAGCCTGGTGCTCGGGGCTGCAGCCGAGAGAGCAGCCCTGCAGGTCCGGGCTCGGGCCCTGTTCTCAACTCTCCAACAGGCCAGAGTGAGCAGGTTACTTCCATTCTGCTGCCTTTAGATGGAACAGTATACTTGGGAATTGCTTCTCTCTTAAAAAAATAAACCTGTGCACCACAACTACTAAGTGGGACTTCCCTGGTGGTGCAGTGGTTAGGAATCGCCTGCCAATGCAGGGGACATGGGTTCAAGTCCTGGTCCGGGAAGATCCCACATGCCGTGGAGCAACTAAGCCCGTGAGCCACAACTACTGAGCCTGCGAGCCACAACTACTGAGCCCATGAGCCACAACTACTGAGCCCACATGCCACAACTACTGAAGCCCGCACACCTAAAGCCCACATGCCGCAACTACTGAGCCCACGTGTTGCAACTACTGAGCCCGCGTGCTGCAGCTACTGAAGCCTGTGCACCTAGAGCCCGTGCTCCGCAACAAGAGAAGCCACCGCAATGAGAAGCCTGCGCACCACAACGAAGAGTAGACCCTGCTCACCCCAGACCCAATGCAGACAAAAAAAAAAACCAAAAAACAAAAGCGACTGACTAAAGCCCAATCAAACACAGTCCGTCTGGAGAGAAGTCTGACAGTATTATAAAAAAAAGCCTTAAAGGATTTATTTCAGGATTTAAAAAAAATGATCATGAAAAAAGAGGAATCTAAATGTTCAACCTCAGAGAACCGGCTAAGTAAACGTGGTCTGTCTGTACTGTAGAAGATCAAATCCTTACTGAAAGGAATGCTCACAAGCGGTTCTCCACGTCACGGGAAGTGCTGAGCTGTTACAAGCGAGGCCTTTCCCCCACTGCGCCCAGCCCTGCCCTGGACTCCCTGCATCAGGGCAGGGACCAGCTGGAGGGAGACGGACACGTAACAGGGTGTGTCGGAAGGTGATCACTGCCACAGATGGAGAACAAAGATCAGAGGAAGGGACCGGGAAGCGGATGGCAGGTGGGGAGCAGGCCGTGGGGGTAACCAGGGCCGATGGGGGGTCCTCGCAGAAAGCGGGGCGAAGCAAAGACCTGCAGGACAGAGCGGAGCAGAGCCAAGGGGCAACCAGAGCCAGGGCCCCGGGGCAGGCAGAGGTGAGAGCCTGTGAGGTCGTAGGGCCCTCCGGGCAGGGAGTCCACGAGGAGCCACCGCAGGGCCCAGGGACAGCGGGGACATCGTTAGATGTGCATTTGAGAAACAAAATCTCTTGGAAATATCAGAGGACTTCCTGGTGAAGAGAGCAGGCTGAAATACAATTCCCTACCTCTAAGAAGCAAAAACACTTAAAACATTTTTTTAAATCAACAAAACCAAAATCACTGCAACAGGAAACATCCCAGGAATGGAACAAAACTGTCCATCAAGGAAAGACCCGACTTGGGAAGGGGACAGGGTCGCAGCTCAGGTCCTACACACCCCCTGAGTCTCACCAAGTGGGGAGTGACAGGTGGGCGAGGCACCCCAGGCCTGGGGGGGGGTGTCCCTAAACCCTTGAGCAGGGAGCCGGGCGTCATGACCGTCTCCTGCAGGGGCAGGAGACGTACAGACAGCACCGCAGCTGCGCCCCACGTGCCATCGGACGGTCCCCTCTGCCACCCACATGCAGGGGAACGAAACCGCACAGCTCCCGCCCAGGCCAGCAACTGGGCAACACGGGAGTCTATGATTATCACCACAACCTTTAAGAGCAATGATACTTACTAACACTGACATTAGAAAGGTAAATTCCCAAGAAACTATGACTTAGGGGACTCAAAATTACAATCTCGGTGTCATTTAGGAAACTACTTGAACAATTCTACCCCTAATCTTTCTGAGCACCAAGATATAATAAATGCACCAAACGTTCAACATTGAACCTGCACCCTCACGGAGACTAGCTTGTGAATACACAAGGCACCGTTCGTGTTTCAGTACTAGGTCGGCTGACTACTTAGAATGTGGAACAGAGCACCAGCGCTCACTTGTTGCCCATCTTGATAGCTGTCTATGCTCAACGTCTGTGTAGCCATCATGGTGAGTGAGTTCTTTATAAAACATCAAATCATCTTGAGTCAAAAGCAAACGGTGTCTGGGAAGACAAAAGCAGAGAAGCATCGGTTAATAACCCAGAGCATTTCTTGTCCCCTTATGCCACAGCACCCGTATACCTTTTTAAATACATATCTTCACATGGAGAGTAAAAACCGTCCTTCACGCTACGGTATAAGCCAAATCCTACTCAGCACCCCGCACCTGCCTGGCGATCGCGTGTCTGTACTTGCCCCAGGCCCGGACGCGTTATCACGTCTCCAGGCATTTGGGTTTATTCCTTCACTCACCCAGCAAACACCTAGTAATGTCTACACGTGCAGGACACTGTCCTGGGCCCTGGGGCTTTCCCTGGGCCATAAGGAAGAGGAAGGCCAGGCAGCACACGGAGGGCGTAGGGGCGCTCGGGCAGGGTGACACAACAGAGGGTGAGCGCGCAGCTGGCGGGTCACACGGCTGCGTGACGGGGCAGGTGCACAGACACTGAGCCTGGGGAGGCCGACCTCAGGCAGGAAGGACGCAGGTGAGCTCAGGGAGGCTGCGCTGGGCATCGGCTCACATCTGCACACGATGCAAAGGTGGGAACGCTGTCATTCACCTGTCACCATGCACACAGGTAAATGAGACAAGAGAAACCAGGTGGGGATGCCACCCGTGCCTCCCGCAGACAGGAGGACAGTGGAGCCACGTGCAGTGGGACAGCAGAGTTGGGGGGCAGTGGGGGACACGGGAGCAGGTCACACCCACTCATGGGCCACGTGGAGACTGTGCGCCTTCTTGGGGCGGGGGAGGGAAGCCCCAGGAAAGTCTGACCAGAAGGGCCCTGAGGCTCCCGGCTCAGGACGGTCTCTCTGACGGTGTGCAGGGCAGGTGAGGGACTGTAGGGCCAAGGGGGGCGGAGGCCGTGTGGCCGGGGGCCAATGGGAGCACAGGGCGTGCAGATGGCCCGGGATGGGCAGGGGGGGCGGATCCGGGGAGGGTTGACAGTTCCCACCTGAGCCACCGGCAGAGCAGAGCCGCATGTCCCGAGGTGGAGCCAACGGCGGGGAGCGGGGTCTGTGGCCTGGGAGGAGAAAGCGAGAGATGGGACGTTGAAGGTTTGAGACGCTTCTCAATACCCACGAGGGAATTCTGAACGAGCGAGTCTGGGCCACCAGTACAAGCCCGGTAATCGTCAGGGCGTGGCCAGCACGTGCAGAGGTGTAAACGTGTCCTCCAAGATAGCCCAGGTCCTAACCCCCAGGCCCTGCAAGTGGGGCCTTACTTAGAAACAGGGTCTTTACAGGGGTAATCACGTTAGGGGTCTCGAGAGGCGTGTCCTGCCGAGAGGGGGAGGGGAGAGGCGCCGAGGGGGTGGCCACGTGAACCTGTGTGAATCCGAAGCAGACTGGAGTGGTGCTGAGACAGGCCGAGGACACCCAGAGCCCGCCGGTCCTGAGCCCAGCGCCGGGAGGGGCCCGAGCTGCTCACCTACAGGCGTCCACCTGACAGTGGCTTCCCAACAGCTGACCTGAACAAAATGCACAGCAGAGGCCCTGGAAGGGCCTAGACCAAGAAGGCAGAGCCACAGCCACGTGGGTCTCGGCTGGGGGCCAACTCTCCACGGTTACTTTCCAGCCTCTGGCCGGCCCGCCCCACGAGATGACAACTGCGGCCGAGCCCACAGCCGCAGGATCTAGGCAGTGGCGGATCACTCTTCCAGCTCTGGGGGCTTTCAAAATGCCCATAATAAATAGAGGGGACAAGTCAACGTTTCATTCTAAAAACATATAGATGTGTAGTAGTCCTTCTCTCTACCAACCTGGTTGAAACTTCAATATCTGACATAACTTGGTACAACTGTTCTAAAGGAAAAAATTTGAAATTTGCGTCAAAAGCTTTGAAAATACATACTCTCTCTACAATGGAACACCACGCAAGGAAGTGGAAAAATAAGAAAAAAAAAAAAGGCAACTCCATACGACTAACATTTTGTTGAGTAAAAAGATGGGGACAGAGTGCCAAGGTCCCACTCCCGCAGGACACCGAAGGCGCCTGGAAGAAGCTGCCAGCAGATGGCGCTGTCCGCTTGAAAGGGTGGTCCAGGCCCGCCGGCAGCCATCTATCTGCAAAGTCCGCAGGTGCTCAATTCCAGGCTGCAGCAAAATGGTCCTCCATGTTGGGGCAGAAACACGGCCTGGCACCTGCAAGCGGGCAGGCAGACAGCCCCCAGCAGAATTCACAGGGTCACACATCCCGCAGAGCTGCCTGGGCTCGGGAGGAAGCGCGTGCCCTGGTCCCCAGCAGAATTCACAGGGTCATCCCGCAGAGCTGCTTGGGCTCGGGAGGAAGCGTGCGCCCTGGTCCAGGCCTCTGGCAACCTCAGCTACTCAGCTACAGGCCCTCCCGGCCCTGGCCAAGGCAGGCCCAAGACAGAACCTGAGTGACGAAGGGAAACCTACCATTAACTGGGAAATAAAGCATCCAACCCAAGGAAGAAAGGTCAGCAGGCTCATCTTTGTTTAGCAAAAACTCTTCTTTTAGGCATTATATGAAAACTAAGGTTAACTTGAGATTTCTAAACAATCAATTAATCCCTAATTCTCTCCCCCATTACATAGAAAAGTAAGCTTCTATTATATTCAAACTCAACACCAGTGTCCTCACTTCTTTTTGTAAAGGTTATACTCCATTTATAATTATTAAAAAATATTAGCTATACTCCCTGTGCTGTAAAATATATCCTTGTATCTTGTTTATTTTATACCTAGTAGTTTATGTCTCATAATCCCCTACCCCTACCTGCCCTTTCCCTCTCCCCACTGGTAACCACTAGTTTGTTCTCTATATCTCTGAATCTGTTTCTGTTTTGTTAGTCGCTAGTTTATTTTATTTCTTAGATTCCACATATAAGGGAAACATACAGTATTTGCCTTTCTCTGACTTATTTCACTTACATAACACCCCCCAAGTCCCTCCATGTTGTTGCAAACGGCAGGGTTTCACTCTTTTTTATGGCTGAGTCGTACTCCATTGTGTAAATATATACCACTTCTTTATCCATTCATGTGCTGATGGACACCTCAGTTGCTTCCATATTTCTGCTACTGGAAACAGTGCTGCTATGAACATTTGAATCAGTGTTTTCATTTTCTCCGGATATACGCCCAGGAGTGGGACTGCAGGATCATATGGTAGCTCTATATTTAGTTTTTGGAGGACCCTCCATACTGTTCTCCATAGTGGCTGCACCACTTTACATCCCCAGCAACAGTGCACACGGGTTCCCTTTCCTCCAACTGTCTTCAATTCTTAACGTCACGTGAGGCTCTAAAATCCAAGTCAAAGAACTGCCAACCCAACAGACTTAACAATACCATGGTGTTTAAGGGTGAGACACGGTTTTTGTCCATTTTATTTCTACAAGTTTCATCCAGTTAAAAAAGAACACATTTATGGAAACTGTCACTTTGGTACCCTTTCAAGAGTTCCAGCCAGACTAACACAAATGAAGAAAACACAACTTTCCAATTTTCATGTACAGAAATGTTAAAACTAAAAGTAATTAAAGAAATACAAAATTTAAAATTATACATCCTTTCTCAGCTAGCAATTATTAACTTTAAAACAACAGTGCGCCACTTTGCTAGCAAAGATGAAGTGACACCCAGCACCCTGAAGGAATCCTAGGTCTCACAAACCGTGTAATTGGTTTGGAAGGCGATTTGACCATATGTATAGTTACCCATAAAAAAAAGTTACACTCTTCTCAAACTCAGCTAAGAAGACAGCGTTAGTGTTGCAACCTGAAAGGCAGACAAAAAAATGAAAGGTGAGCCAAATCTAACAGGCAGGCGTTTCAATATTTCTAAGCATCTAGTCAAGGACAACTGACAAGTCAGGGAAGAGCCAGAGGCAGACAGACTGGCTGAGTCCCACCAGGCGGAGAAGGCCTTCCTGCTCAGAGCAGACGGTGAGTCCGGGAAGGTCCAGGACGGCTCAGTCTGCAGAGACAGGAAGAGGAGGTGCAGCATGCGGGTCAGACGGTGGAGGGGGCCCCAGGTCAGCAGCACCCCAGCTCCCTTCGTCCCAGCCCACGTGGTCCCCCAGATGAGAAGCCCGACTCGCCTGAGATGACTTCCTTCCTGCCTTAGTGGTGTCTCTAAGCCCTGTGGGAGATTTAGATTTTAATATTTTTGTGTTTAGCTTCAGAATAATCTATGTATTTGACATTTAAGTTGTGTGCAGTACGCAAGAAATTTTAGCAAATTAATCTTAGGTTTTAGCCTTGATTCCAATTTAAAAGTATAACTGAGTTACTGATTTTACACATTTCTTTTTTAGTGAAAAGGCACAAGAAATTTACTAAGATTGTAAACATTACTTCATTTATGCAAGTTTACCGACTGCCAGGGTCTATTCTAGGTCCTGAGGGTGCAGCAGTGAGCAAAACCAAGTTCCTCATCCGATGAACGTCACTTCCTGGTAGAAGGTCTGGAAAGTTTGAGAACTTGAGATTCACTACATGTGTAATTTTAAGTTACTAGATCTACTGAGAAGGTTTTATTTATTTGGTCGATATTTAAGGTGCTTAAAACGAAAAGTGTATCTACTAAACTTAAAACTAGGGTTCAAAACACATAAGGAGATTTAAGTTGTATATGGGACTGATCATTAAAGATGGTGCATGTAGTCTGATCATCTTGAGTTGATCAAAGGCTGTCTTATGGGTGAAAGATCAAAATTTACTAAACTTATAAAGAGAAAAATGAAATCTATAAATTCTAACATAAAAGCATAGAGAGAAAAACAAGGCTGTAGCTTTGTAGCCTTAATAAATATTGATTTAAAAATAACCTCAGGGCTTCCCTGGTGGCGCACTGGTTGAGAGTCCGCCTGCCGATGCGGGGAACGTGGGTTTGTGTCCCAGTCTGGGAGGATCCCGCGTGCCGTGGAGCGGCTGGGCTCGTGAGCCGTGGCTGCTGGGCCTGCGCGTCCGGAGCCTGTGCTCCGCGGCGGGATAGGCCACGGCGGTGAGAGGCCCGTGTACCGCAAAAAGAGAAAAAATAAAAAAAAATAAAAATAAAAATAACCTCAAATAATCTCTTCTCAAAAGAGAAGAGCTCAAAAGCCTCATTTCAAAGGGCATTAAAAACTCACGGCAAGCGGAACAACTAAGTCCGTGCGCCACAACTACTGAGCCCACGCTCTAGAGCCCACGAGCCACAACTACTGAATCCCGCAAGCCACAACTACTGAGCCCGCACGCCTAGAGCCCGTGCTCCTCAACAAGAGAAGCCACCACAATGAGAAGCCTGGGCAGGGCAACGAAGAGTAGCCCCCGCTTGCCACAACTGGAGAAAGCCCGCACGCAGCAACGAAGACCCAACGCAGCCAAAAATAAAATAAATAAATTAAAAAAAAAAAAAAGAATGAAGCCTTTTGTTTTTTAAAAAAAAAAAACTCATGGCAAGAAAGTCAGAGGCAAATAATGTTTCTTATCCACATTGATAGAAAAGAGAAACAGAACCTACACGTCATCCGTAGGGGAATGGTGAAATCCATTACGGTTCTGACCATCAATCACGAACATGAAGGTTAAGTCCAAGGAAAAAGTCTCATGGGTGCTGTCAAGTGGAAAAGCAGGGCACACAATCTGCTGTGCACGTAACTGTGCCGTTCATTCAATCCACAAATATTTACTGAAAGTCTTCTCTGGGCCAAGCTCTGTTCTAAATGCTGGGTATGGAGCAGCAAACCAAACACAGTCCCTGCTGTCAAGAAACAACTTTACGGGCTTCCCTGATGGCGCAGTGGTTGAGAGTCCGCCTGCCGACGCAGGGGACGCGGGTTCGTGCCCTGGTCCTGGAAGATCCCACATGCCGCGGAGCGGCTGGGCCCGTGAGCCATGGCCGCTGAGCCTGCGCGTCCGGAGCCTGTGCTCCGCAACGGGAGAGGCCACAACAGTGAGAGGTCCGCGTACCGGGAAAAAAAAAAAAAAGAAACGACTTTACAACAATGTTGAAAAAGTATTTGGAAATTAATGTGGGGAGAAGAGACAGCTCTCTAGGACCAAGAGCGTGGGGACCTCTCCTATATCCTTTATTAAGTTTGATGGTCCGGGGAATTCCGTGGTGGCGCAGTGGTTAAGAATCCGCCTGCCAGTGCAGGAGACAAGGGTTCGAGCCCTGGTCCGGGAAGATCCCACATGCGGCGAAGCAACTAAGCCCGTGCACCACAACTACTGAGCCTGCGCTCTAGAGCCCTCGAGCCACAACTACGGAAGCCCGTGCACCCAGAGCCCGTGCTCCACAACAAGAGAAGCCACCACGATGAGAAGCCCGCTCACCGCAACCAAGAGTAGCCCCTGCTCGCCGCAACTAGAAAAAGCCTGTGCACAGCAACGAAGACTCAATGCAGCCAAAATTAAAAAAATAAATAAATGTATTAAAAAAATAAAATAAAATTTAAAAAGTTTGATGGTCCTCTCTGTGGAGGTCTTCTGTAGCCCTGGTTAATTAATCCTGAAACACGTCATGGTTTTCCTTGCTACTGTCAAAAGTATCTCATTGTCACTGTACTTTCTGGTGGACTGCTGGGTAAGAAATGCCCCCAGTCTGTGCAGGCTAACCTTGTACCCGCCAACATTCCTAACAGCTTATGGAGAGTCTACTGGTTTTTCTCAGCACACGCAGATGCAATCCCAATCAAGATTCCTGCTGTTTTTGAAAAACTCAAAAACTTTCAAAACATCCTACAAGGCCACAGGTAACAACTAAGAAGTGGGTAACGGCACAAGAACAGGTAAACAGGCCAATGGAACAGCATAAATGAGACACTGGACTCGTCAGGGCTGGAAGGAAAAGTACCAAAGATGCAAAAAGCTTTGGAATTTTGTTGCTTTTACAAACACCTCTCTGAACTCGTCAATCGCTGCGAAGTGCTGGTGAACGCGGGCTTTTGGTGTTGCTCCACACACACACTGTACGTGGTCAACCGCGCACTCCCGCTCAGCCACGGGCACGCGGACTCTCGGCCACCTGGGCGGGCCAAGCAGAAGCTCCCGCAAGATCAGAGCTCTGCATCAGAGTCCTGTTTACGGGGCCCACGCTAACGCAGAGACGCACAGAGAACTGGTCCAGGAGGGTCCATCTTCATTTTGCACTGCCAGCATCACAGCGGGGCTTAGTGAGGGCAGGAAGGAAAACGAGGGAGGAGCTATCTTCCCAGGGTCTATATATGTGCAGACCTAAGTGAGGCACTTTTAGAGCACATCCCCAAACTGCGACACTCCTCCCGAGATGGGGGTCTTTGTCCCCTCCTCTTCAACGTGGCCTACACTCAGCGACTTGCTGGGAAGCAGGAGAGCGCATCCGGAGCAACGCTGTGTGACTTCGGGGCTGCGGAAGCTCCCGCCGCCATGTTCACCGGGACACTCACTTCCGGAGCCCCGAGAAGTAAGAAGTCTGACTAAACAGAGCGCCCCTGCGCTCACTGTGAGGAAGCGCAGGCCACAGCGAGAGTCCACGCAGAGGTGCTGTGCTCAGGAGCCCAGCTCACGTCCCAGCTAACCGGCAGCAGCAACCTCCAGATTTGAGAAAACCCCTCCAAAAGAGTCCAGCCCTCAGCCACCCAGCCATCCGCGGCCCGGCGCCCTCCTAGCTGAGGACCCCAACCCTGTGGGGCAGAGACGGGCCGTTCCCACCCCAGCCCTTCCAAACTCCCGGCCCCCAGGCCCGTGAGCAGAGTGCGGTGTGCAGCCTCCTGTGCCCCCGCCAGTAGGGACCGGAGCGCTCGGCAGTCTCTGGAGCCCTGCTGATGGCAAACAGGTGCAAAGAGGAGGAGCGCCTTTGAGAGGCCGATGTGTCTGGCTCCCAGGCCTGCCATTCCCTCTATGTGCTATTTCAGAGAACACAACAGAACTCTGTCTTGTAAAAATTAATAAACAGAACCCTTAATTAAATAGAGTTGGGAGGCCAGCAGGCGCACTCCCACGCCCCGACGGGAGGGCCGCCCGACAGAAAGTGGACAGACTCCTCTTCCCGCCTGGCAAGGCCTCAGCCAAGGAGACACTGCCCCAGCCCAGCAGTGAAAAGCCGCCGGGTGGACCCCATTCCTCCAGCGGACTCTCGACTCCAGAGTCGAGAGCTCTTTAAAAGAGCTCTCCTCTCCTGGCCACGCAGGGACTTGCACGGGCGCCCCATGGTTGCAGACCCCAGATTTCAATTCTTCGTTGGTCCCGAATAAACCCAATTTTGCTGGAGAAGTAACCAGCAGTCTGTGTCATGGCAACCGTTTCTAAGATAACTGTAGAACTCACAAGGAAATCAGGCAAATGTTTGACAATCTGACAACTCTGACGCCTACAAACGTTAATTACATCAATTCAATCTATGAATTATAGTGTCATTCAAAACGGGAAACACTAAGAGAATGGATGAAGAAGGTGAACCACCAGGTACACACCACAAATGACCTTCAGTCATGTAACGTTCAACACTGCACACACAGGTAACTCTGCTTTGCAAACATTAACGAGTCTAAAGAAAATGACGGCCTGGTGCTAAGTGTACAAGTGGCATCTCCCAATAACAGCCAAGGTTTGCAAGTCAGACATCTCCAAAACATCGTAACAATTACTGAAAAGGAAAGGAACTCCTCCTTCCTGCCTGATCAACACGTATGAGAAAGACATGATGCAGCCACCGTATGTTGCCAGCACATGGTAACGATACTACCCATGAGCATGTAAGAGTTGAAATGCTGGGCGATGAAGACCCCAATTGCAACCGTAAAGTTTATTTTCCAGAATTTCACTTTGGAGAAGAGCCATCTGGTGTTGTTGATTCAACAACTAAGCTTACAGAAACTATCACCAACCATCACACCTCCATTCCCTGAGCTCCCCGTAATGCCTCCAGACCTCTCTCCCATGGCCACTCTTCCCAACCCCACCCATCCCCCAAGTCCATTCTCCACACTGCAGCCCCAGTGACAGGATTTCTTAAGGCTTGCTGCTTTCCCTCTGGGATCAATTTTCAGAGTAACGTGCTGGTTCCCTAGCGTTCTCAAATAGTGACCAGTGAGGCTGTGATCCACGGGTTTAAACATGTAAAAAATAAGTACAGGGCTTCCCTGGTGGTGCAGCGGTTGAGAGTCTGCCTGCCGATGCAGGGGACGCGGGTTCGTGCCCCGGTCCGGGAGGATCCCACATTTCGCGGAGCGGCTGGGCCCGTGAGCCATGGCCACTGAGCCTGCGCGTCCAGAGCCTGTGCTCCGCAATGGGAGAGGCCACAGCAGTGAGAGGCCCGTGTACCACAAAAAAAAATAATAATAAGTACAGCTTTTTTATACATATATTTTCTGATGTTCCAAATTATCCCATCTTTTTCCAATGTAAGCCCCTTCAGTTACCTCCTACAGCTTTTAACGCACTCAAGTAATTCTTTTTTTTTTTTTTTTTTGCGGTACGCGGGTCTCTCACTGTTGTGGCCTCTTCCGTTGCGGAGCACAGGCTCCGGACGTGCAGGCTCAGCGGCCATGGCTCACGGGCCCAGCCGCTCCACGGCATGTGGGATCTTCCCGGACCGGGGCACGAACCCACGTCCCCTGCATCGGCAGGCGGACACTCAACCACTGCGCCACCAGGGAAGTCCTCTAGTAATTCTTGATAGCTTTCTTGCTTTCAGGTAAAACGAGATACTCCAGGCTCATATTGATTATTTTCTGTGTCAAACCCAGACTTTGCCATTGATCCAAGGGGCTTTGATTCCAATGGGAAATGATACGTAGAAACCACAGTCTAGGTGCTGTGTGCTCATTGCTACTGGTTGGTCACTGTTTCTAGCCTTTCCAATGGACAGGGATAAGAAATGTTTTCTCATAAAAATTTTGTACAAATTAACACTGATACC